AACAACAACAACAACAACAACAACAACAAATCAACATTGTTGCATTTTGAAAACATGCAGGCACCGATTTCAAAAACTGCTCATGATTGACATCCCAAACTAGTAAACAAGTTGTTGCACATACTTTCTCCATCCCAAAATGATTGTCCCCTAACACGTTTACTATTGGAATAAGCTCAATATTTGGGCAATTTGAATGTTTTTTTTATTCTATCCCTCTTGTTGAACAGAATTTGAATGTGTCATGCCTTTTAACATTGTACAACAGTCATTTTGATATGCCAAAACTTGCACATGTTAGCATAGATGAAGTATTTAATTAGGCTATTATTTGCATTGCTAAGGAGAACTTTCTTCTGTGGTCATTTCTTGTTCAAAAGAGGTGCACCATACCATTGTGAAAATTCCATTTGCTGTGTTCATAGTGTGCAAAAGATAAATTTTAATTCCGTGCATGCTCATTTTTCCCTTTGGTACTGATTCTATCTAAAAAGTGTGTAGAAAATAAGAAGGGGACTTTCAAATAAGGACAGCAAAATCAGAGTCACAATACAGTCATTGTGGAGTGGAGGAAGTACAGGACCAGTTTAGTTGAGATAAAATCAAACCTAGGAATAATGATTTTTGGCCACCCGCTACTCCTGTAACTTTGGCTGACTAGTTCTAAACCACTAGAGCATCCTTTGTTGGCTTTCCAATGATATGGATCTTTAAGCAATTATATCAACTTGGACTGGTGGGGCTTAGTCTGGTGGTAGTCTAGAGTTGGTTTTCTTTTCTCTTCACAAGCATTTGTACATTGCTATGTGAATTTTGAGGATAACCATTTCTGGCTTGTTGATTTCTCTGCCCACCAAAAACTCAAAAAACTCTCATTTAATCAACCTCATCATAGGGACCTGTCACTACTCCAGTTCAACACCTTAACCTCCACTAACAATGCAATCCATATACAGGATCTCTCAATAATAACAAGGGGAAGGGTGTTTGGAAGTTGTGGATMAATCGACCAGGTGGTTTGGAAGCAACAGTAGATCTAAGCAACAGCAAAAATTGCAACAAAAGAAGCTGCAGTGTAACCATCAAAACACCACCTTCACTTCCATTATTAAGACAACCAATGCACCAGATTGATTCATTATAACAAGGGAAAGGGGATCTGGAAGTTTTGGATTGATTGACTGGATGAACAACAACAACAACAACAACAACAACAACAAGCAACCCAACATCCTTTGGAAGGAAGAACAAGTGGAGAAGAAGCAGATGAAGAGCAAAGAGGATGAGGGGAGAAGGGATACAGCTTCACAGTATCATGTAAGACTAAAAAAGGACTTCAAAGAGGCTGAGGTTGAAACGAAGGCCTACATGGCAGTAATTTCAAAGGTGAAGCACCAACAAGCAATTTTGCCTGAGGAATTGCATACATCTATTACAAAAATTGTAAGAGAGGCAAACACCATTTATCAAGCAAATCTTAAGGCAGATACTGTGTGGAGACGACTGCAGTTGGGCTTGGAAGATACCCTCCTAAAAAGGGCCAAAAGGCGGCTCTGCCCAAAAAGATTGAGACCACTTTTATTAAAGCAATGACTTCCTTGGTTAATCTTGGCTGTCCAGATATGAACATTCAACCTAGATGCCTACAACTACTCCAAATGCTACTCACATGCCTTGAAAGTGGACCAACAGTACTGCAAGACCAGCATTTGCTGTTCAAACGATTGTACAAAGTTGTTTGCAATAAAGTTAGTATCGTCATGCAACACAGCACATGTGACACAACCAATCAACAGAAACTATGGAGCGTTCAAATCAATGTACGGACAAAATTTGGAAAAGCTTGTGTTACACCGTTGTAAAAATGGGGAAAAGGTCTGGCAGACTGATTTTCTGCTGCTTGTCTTTGGAAAGCAAAAACATTGGTATGAGCCTGTACTATTTGAGCACAAATTTTACAAAGCTGTAGCAGTTGAGATAACAAAGGCGATATGGGCCAAGATTGGGATTGCACTGTTTACCAGAAGATCCCTTGATGACCAGAAAGAAGTTGCTCACAAAATAATTATGCTGCCAGGCGGTAGCATTGATATTGATGCTGATCCTGAGATGGTCAAGCTTGTTGAATGGGAACAAATGAATGCTACGGCAATCCAAGTACTCAATGATACTGGATTTAATGGAGAGATTTACCAAAGATATGCCCCCATGCTATCAGCGTCTACAACAGCAGTGACAAAAGCTGGGACTAGGGAATGGCAAAATGCAATTGGAAATATCAAATACTCTGCTAGTGAGCATTTTATTAGAACCAAAGGTGATACACTAAACAGTGATGACGACTTCATTACAGAAGAAAGAAAGAGGCAACAACAGCTGGTTAAGGAGCTACTAGAACAAGCAGCAAAGAAGAAATCCCAAGCAGTGAGTGTGTTGAATGCAAAGGCCACCGGAGTGATTGAGGAATTGCTAT